TAGATATATATACGTAACTCGTTATGTAATATATCATGGAATATCGTTAAGAACGCTTAGTACAATTATTATTGTGACCCGTCGAAAAGTAACGATCACTTTGGCAGTTAACTTCTTTGTCATTTTTTATTTTCCAGCACGTTTCTTGCTATTAACCAGCCGTCAACTAATCACGGTACCTAAAACGGGAAAAATCTATCTATTCCATATGCCATTTTCGTTATCATTACTATTATTACGGGTTGTTCTTCGCTACTTGCTTGCTGTCTCGTCTTTGTTGATTTTTATATCTATTAAATCAATAACTTCTCATGCGGAGCTCTTTGTTGTATGAAGGATGGCAGTCGACCCGAAAGAGCTTCCATTGAGACCCGATCCGGTGCTATATCCAGACATGTAGGAAGTTCCGTACGAAAAGGAGGGGGCAGAATAGCCGTAACCGATTCCAGTTCCGTAGATGGAATCGTAACCGGTAGAGTAGGAGACAACGGGGGCAGCACTGATACCAGTAGCGTAGGTCGAGGTAGGAACGGCCGCGGCAACAGCAGGCGCAGCTATAGAGACTGCAGGGGTAGAATGAAAGCCGATGATAGAGCTAACAGGGGCAGGCGCACCTACAGAGACAGCTGGGGCAGCCACGATTCGACCGCCAATCGATTCTCCACCAACATGCTGAATTTGAATGTTGGGTTCGTCACCGCCAACGATGATTTCGGGAGCGGCTTGCTGCTGCTCGGCGATCAGCTCAACTTGAGCAGGAGGAGCGGGAGCCTTGCGGATATTGATGACGCGGTCTCCGGGCAGCGGCGGGTTGGCAACGTCGAACACCTGAACGTGGGGGTCCTGGTAAGTAGCACGGTCAATCTGGGTAGCACCGGTGCGTGAAACAAGACGGATGTGGTTTTCAGGAGCGATCGGTCCCTGGACATCGATGACCTGAGTACCGCGCCGCGGTCCGTCGTGGACACGGATAACCTGGCCACCGGCCTTGTACTCTTCAACACGGATGGTGTTTCCGGATCCGCCAGTGTGGATCTCGTGCGAGCGGATGCCTTCGCCGGAGCCGGTTACGGTGGCTCCACCAGATCCATTAGCACCATAGGTAACGCCTCCGCCAAGGCCACTATAAGCAACACGTCCACCAAGGCCTTGCGAGCCGGAAATGTAAGAAACAGTTGGGGCAGCAGCACCCACAGAGATAGCAGCAGCCGGCGAAATAGTTGGCGCAGCTACCGAAACAACCGGAGCGGCTACCGGAGCGGCTACGGAAGCTACTGGAGCAGACGACACCAGCGTGCGGGAGGAACGCGAAACAGCGGCAGGTGTAGCGTAGCTAATACCACCGCTCACCGGAAGCGTGTAACTGGCCCCGTACGAGACTCCGCCGATACCGAGTCCATATAAGTGTTTGCCATAGCCGCCGTAACTTGGATAGCTGGACAGAATCTGGCCCCTGGCGGCCGTCGCCACCAGGGCTGCAGAAAGAATCTGGAACGCCCTCATGGTAACAAGAAAAAGGAGATTTGATGGAGAGTGCAGAAGCTGGAAGGCCGAAACCAACTATGATCCGAAAACTATCACCCGAGCAGTTTTTATAGTCCGCCGTTTTACTACGGTTGTCTTGTTCCTGATCGTCGTTTCAATGGTGGTGGTGGTGGTGGTGGTGGCGGTGGCGGCGGCGGGGGGCATGGTGATGGTGGGATTTCTTGTTCGCACAGGCGCACTTGCACAATTCTTGTTTGTTTCGCGCATCCGTACGTACTTACCTAATCGCTGGTTTACCATGGTAACAGTCGTGAGCGCCTGTGATTGCTCTTGAGCAGTCCGGAGAGGGCCCAGAAAGGAACACGTGTCTAGCCCAGAAAACGAGGGGGACAGTTGAATTAACTTGTATTACTATTGTAGTATGGTAGTCAATTCAGTTTGGAAGCTTTGACTGGTGCACCCAGAAGAACTGTACAGTGTAGTGTAATCTAGTGTAGAATAGAATAGAGAAACATATCATAGTGGTGGCGACAATAGGTTCAACCTACACGATTCGGAAGTTGAATCCTACTAGAAAAGAGGCAAAACATCATCTTCGTTGCTAATGATAGACACACTTAGATACGATAACGAGACAATGTGTTAGTAATTCTTTGTAATCATCTCGTGTGCCTGTTAACATGGATACATGTAGGATTCCAGTTTGTGTGGATGAGGTCAGTGGTCTGAAAAAATATACTTCGAACTAAATTGTGTAGTGTGGGGCGTTGTTACTGAAACGGGTATTGGCATATGCAACATGTATTAGTATGGGAGTATCTTAGATGTCACCTATACGTTTAAGCATTTAAAATGATTTTCTGTCTAGTATATTTGGGGGCTGTATTACTTTACATATATCATGGAGTGATATCGGTAACGTAGTTTCTTGTCTCTCCAGGTCTTGTTGAGCGTGCGCAGGCAGGGTGCGTTGAGCCTTTTGTGCGCAGAAAACGCATTAATATACAATATCAGTTTGATCGAACACTGAGAACAGACTCAATTCGTTACAGAAAGTATTGCGGTACAATGAGAATAACTTTGATACACCAAAGTTCAATGGCAAGTTATCGAAAGAAAGTTGACATCGGCGAGCGACTTTGTGCCTCTATCGATTTCAGCGGAAAGAACTGAGAACAGTTTACTTTTATAATATGTCAGTCGGCAGAGTTGAACAAAATGCAAAATATCGATTTCATTTAACTTCGCAGTTTCCTGCTCTTCTTCCAGAACTTTGAAAATGTTTTTGTCGCTTCGAGGGTTTCTCGCTATTTGAGAGGTCCACAAGAACATTTCAAGTTTCATCTAAGTTTAACACTGATATTATATATAGGGGATATTTACGCGAACACAAGTACTCGGTTTAGGTTTCGATAATGTATAACATTAGAATATATGGTTCTTGGCCTTAGGTCTGGATGATGAAGGCTAAATCGTAGGTGAAGCACGTGCTTCGATCTTCTAAAATAGTACGCTTCCTTATTTAGTCTCACTGTTTCCTATTGCATGATTGAGTAGGTTGAATTGGCTCAGTAAGTCGGATTGCAGGGGTCGTTTCCTCCGCTGACATGTATAGTATATAGCATTCGTGACTGAACAAAAAAGTGAATCAAGTCAATCTCTGAAACATTAATTAGACTATTCGAATTGAAAGCGGAGCTGATTGTTAGGCGGTCGGTCAGATAGCGATCACCAACATTAAACACAATTACGGTGGCTTACTGTACATCGGAGATGATTGGGATCTTGTCAGTTATCTATCTGAATGCTTGTCAACGATCTAGGTAACATTCAGTAGGGGTATCTTATGCAGGGCCAGTTGAAGTTAGGTGCGTCACCTTCAAAGGCCCTTGCCAGTACTTTACCCGGAGAGAAAAAAGGTCCTATCCGCTCGGTAGACGATGTGCGCTTAATATAGACATAAAAAAAAAGGCTTGCATTTTTTTTTATTCTTGCACAGATTGCACACGTATACAAAATAGTAAGATGCTACTATACAGACATGTTGTAACAATGCTGTTAACGATACCGTTATGTTGATTCCCGTTTCACCTGTCATTGCAAATTTCCACTACGTAGAGTTGATTTATGTGAGACTACTTAAAAGCTGTTGACGTGAGCTTTCGGGACGAAAAAAAAAAACATTTTTACACGTACAGTTCCTAGGATTTAAAAAAGTATAGCCTGAAACTCGGTTCGTCTACTCTTCAAGCCAAAGTCCTCAAAATAAAATCACAGTTCCAGTTCCCTATTTTCCGCTAAGCACAGGCCTTCGGTTTCGCTATGTTTACATTTGAGGTAACTACTTACGAAGTACTTGTGCTGTTTCGGTAATTTAATGAGCTAACCGTAATTTCGTTATAGGCATGTAGTTGGTATGACATCCTTACGGTCTATTTGTCTAGATATTCGAGTACGCTCTACATGACTTGGCTTTCTGTAATAGTTTCTGGCTGTTGGTCGTGCTATAGTTACTAGCAATTTTTTCGCAAACGGTTTTTTCGTACGGCGACATATTTTACCGATACCGATTCCGTTTCCGTTTCAAAAGCTATCACATAATTACTTCGTTCTAAAGAAGATTAGAGCACATAGTTGCTTCAAGTAGCTTCTTACTCTGAAATGAGCGCGTTTGGTCCCTCAAGCACCTACTGAGTACCATCGAACGATATCATTATATAGGTAACGAGAAGTATTTCTTAATATGAACCGAGCCAATTGAGAAGCTATCATTTTTTCTTTATTTGCCTGAATGCAAATTATTTTAGGGTTATTAAACTTCACTGAATCAATTACTGATTAATCAAGAAAAAGAACATGGGTGTCAATTTATTAACGGTCAACGGATCATAGATTTAGACAGAAGTCATGTGACCAACTGAAAGATGAGCGGATTTTCTCATAACTTAAAGAAAAGATATAGTAGGAAGAAATCAATACATAAGACTTTACTGCTCTTGTGTATAAAAAAATTATTACTATTGTTTATTGATATTGTAATAACCATCATTTAGTAGCATATTTCCCGTAAGCTTCATCAATCATAGTTAACAATGCTACGTCTCTGTGATGGTGGAATAGTTTCCCACTAAATTTTTTTGATAAGTTTTAAGGGTACGTGCAATTAGATATCCCTAGGCCACAGTCTTTTCTGCTTAGGCGGAGTGTAGGACTTAACCCCTGCGGTCGGACTTGTTTTTGTTGAAGCGACTACCCGCTAATTGTGAGCTTCTCTCTTATTCCACCCAAACAACACGGTTTAAACTTAGAAACATACAACATAAAATCTAAGTTAATAATTCAGAGAAGGAGGCGAACATGTGTAAGAAATGATCCTGTGGGTGTTGAGCAGAAACGTGTTAAGAATTGTAAAGGCTTGGCCCTATTGCTCTCCAGCTAACTAAATAGTGTAGGTGACTTTGCATGTCTTTTATTCGTTAGCATATAATTGTATGGGTATTTTGAAGTAAATAGATCATGGCTGCAAAACGTCGTACGTTGATAAAAGTGTACAACCTTATGGAAACATTATTTCACTAGAATAACAAAGATTTCAATTTCAGGCAGCCGTAACGTCCTAGACTAACATTAAAATTTACGAGCTCCGTTTTATTTAGCTTATTTTAATCAATGTATACACAGATTACTTGGAAAATCAAATATGCTTGCTTCAGCCTATCAGGTGTCCTAGTACTCTGTTTATTTATTGACCTTAGAAAAAATCGACAAAATTATTGGAGACGGCTGCTTAACCAACTACAATTTCCTTTCTAACTTTACCTTCTGACATTACTCCATTGATATAAACTAGTACTGACTCATAGGTTTATTATCAACTCATGAGATGGCTTGAGCAAACACAGTACCGTTACGCGCATTTTCTACACTAGTATACAGATTACAATATTCATAAAAATCTCCCGTTCGTTTTTTACTTAGTAACGAGCTATATTACACATTCTACGTAAATTCTCGAAATCCTATCGCTTCGTGGAAAAACGTCTTACGCTTCAGCGGAACTTGTTTGTAAGGTATTTCCAGGCACCGAACACAGGTCATCTCAGGAAGGGCAACTGGCTTTGCTTGTAGTGGCCCAGATGGGTTCATAGGTTGCTTAATAGTTTTTTTTTTTTGGCTAGGCTCGTTCAAATTTGTAGCTTAAATTTTCGTTTGGAACTTCGTTGTGTACCTACTTTAATTGAGACCTGCTGGATACGAAATGGTTCGTTCCACTGAGGACCTAAAACGCATTCTGGTAACCCGGCTAGAAACAAAAAAGCTGCGCATTGTGATCTTGCTGGTCATTGATGGGCTGTAAATCTAAGTAGATTGTCCGACAGTAATTGACTGTATGTAAGGCGTCACCTATGACGAAGGTACCGGACCCGACTGGGTTAGCACATCGCCATGATGTCCATCGCAGGCTCGTAGTGTAGCTCGTGAAATAAAAACTGTTTGCATGAGAACTGTGGAGTCGGAACGTGGGCAATAGTCACTAAAATCTGAACAAAAGCTTTTAATACAGCAGTGGAAGTTAATGGTTGTCTATTATGACAGAAGGGTGTTTAATACTATAATGGTTAGCAGATGTTAGCGTTAGCTTGATAGGTAAATGGCTAATACGAAAAGCCATATAAGCCATGGTCTTTCTAGCTTCAATGGATAATAGAGACACGGTTGATTATCGTGGTGACAACATTCTGGGCGTTTCAACCCACTAGAACCGTCAGAAATGAAGCTGTCAACAAACAATCGCCATGTCTCGAATAGCCTATTCAACCTCGTGTTTTTTTGTAGTTAACGGGCAGATAAATCACTAGCTAGTCTTTGAGATTTGCCTACGAGCGAGGCATACGGACAGCAACGAGGAGCACGTCTGTCGTTCTGGAGCTGTGCTTTTGGCTGTCTCTTGGTTTTTTCATTTCTCACCACTGTAGAGCCGTTTATTTGCGTAACCAGTAATATTGTTTGCTTGTGCT